CCCCGTCTCTACTAAAAATAGAAAGAAATTAATTGGACAACTAAAAATATATATAGAAAAAATTAGTCGGGCATGGTAGCGCATGCCTGTAGTCCTAGCTACTCGGGAGGCTGAGGCAGGAGGCTCGCTTGAGCCCAGGAGTTTGAGGTTGCTGTGAGCTAGGCTGACGCCATGGCACTCTAGCCCGGGCAAAAGAGTGAGACTCTGTCTCAAAAAAATAAAAAAAAAAAATTACTTCTAACAACACATTGGTTGGCAATTCGGTTCAGTTGTTCTTCAGTTTTGTTGAAAGCTTTGGAAACCACCCGACTTGCAAAAGTCTTGCTTCCCCAGTCCTCAGCCATATTTTCTGTCTCAACACCTACACCAATATCTCAAATTGTTCTTTTGTTTCCTGTCCCCAGAATACTTTTACCTTGCAGTGAAGCATCTGAACAGGATTTCAAATGGGTCCCTCCCTTTCTAAAAGGACAAGAGCAATTGTGGATGGGGAAGCAGATCTCAGGCACTTTCTCATGAAAACAATGTTAAGGCAGAGTAGACATGGAGGCCGAAAATTGATTTCTTTAAAACCATCATCAGTACTCAGTTTCCTCGTTTGAAGACTGCTATCTTGGAGTAACCAGAGGCATCATTGCATGAAGCCAGACTGAATTCAAAGGTGACTCTGTGGCTGACTAGCTGTGTGATCTTGGGCAAGTTTCTTAACCTCTCTGGGCCTCAGTTTCCCCACCTGCCGAAAGGATGATAACAGTGCCTTCCTCACAGGATATTGTTAAGGGTAGACGAGGCAGTGCTTAGCACAGGGCTAGGTGCCTGGGTAAGTGCGTGGTGAAGGGTAGCTCTGGCTTCTCACTGCCTTGGTACACACAGGGAGCAAGAGTGCTGCATCCTCCCCGTGCCCCCTGGCCAAGCTTCCCCTCTGGGCCTGCCCCCCCATCGGGGGGGACCCCGCCTTCCACAGTGTGCTGATACCTGCCCCCCATCTGTGTTTTGTCTCTGGCAGGTGTGGAGATGCTGTTCCCCGTAGGTAACCAGCCCCTTGGAAGAAAGAGACCCCACACCCGGCTCGTGTATTTATTACCGTCACACTGTCGGTTACCTCCCTGCTGGAACCTGTCCTCTATTTATTAGCCAACTGTATCCCTGCTGAATGACTCGCTCCCTTCAAGATGAGGGGCACGAAGGGACAGGACCCTCAGGAATTCAGTGCCTTAACGTGAGAGAAAGAAAGAAGCCAGCCACAGACCCACGGGAGCTTCCACTTGGGAAGAAGCAACACATGCGGCCTTGTGAGGGGCAAGCCAGTCTCCAGAGGCCCTGGGGGTCTCCAGAGGACTAAAGAAAAGAAAAGAAGGGGCCCCACCACCTGTTCCTGGGCCCCGGGCACTGCACAGACAAGCTGCCCTTGCTTTGGGAGCTCCTGGCCAAGGAAGGGGAGCAGGGGCCTGCTGTCGCCGCCTTGGCCCTGGGTGGGATGGCAGGCAGCGGGCGGAGGGGACCCAGCCACTTCCTCCTCTTCCTGGCAGCAGCCCTTCACCCTGGAGATCAGAACATTCAGCTCTGGAGAACAGTGGTTGCCTGAGGGTTTTTGCCACTCCTTGTCCCCTGTGGCCTCTCCTCACATTCTGCCACCTGCTTACGCTGGGACATTGTTCTTTCCAGCTGAGGCGCTACCCTCCTGCCCCCTCTCAGGGACACACGCAGAGTGGGCCCAAAGGGACAAGGAGCAGCCCAGTCAGTGGGAATGAGGTCACCAGGGGAGGAGCCTGTGTGTCCCAGCTGAAGGCTGTGGCAAGGGGAGCAGGTTCCCCGGGGGCCCCTGCGCCCCACAAGCTGCCCCTGAGGGGCCGTCCGACTGCCCAGCCAGATCCTCTCAAATAAAGTATTCTAGTCTGGAAAGGACTGCGCCTTCTCCGAGCCTCGGCTTTCGCGTCTTACTAAACCTGTTCAGTCCACTGGATTGTGAAGGAGTGAAAAAAAAAACCTATTCACATGGTAAAAAGCATGTCACAGGTCATGTCAACATGTCGCTTTCTTCCCTCTTCCTTTCGACAGCTGAAGAAACTGAGGCCCGAAGCGAAACGACTGTCGGAGAGTCAAAAGAGCCCCAAACTAGGCAGAGGCCTGGGCTTTGTCTCTAACTCACCGAGTGGCACTGGGGTTCCCTCTGCCTTAGTTTCCATCTCTAACTTGAGAGGCTTAGCTAACTTGAGGGACTGACTCGGCCCCAGGTTCGAGTCTCAGGGGCCCTGGATGGTCTTGGGAGATTCCCGTACAGGCTACTTCAAGGCTATCCTGGGGGTCGCTCAGGCCTCTTCCTACCCCCTGGAATGAAGCACTCCCAGGATGTAGTTGTGGTCCCAAAGTTGGGGAGGGGCCTGTCCCCATCCACCTCTGAACACAATCAGATTCAAGAGCACAGCCCCTCCCCCTCCCCCAGAGTGCCCCACACCCGGCCCAGTGCCTGGCCCTCTGGACCCTGAGTGACCGCAGCTCCCGGACTCCTTGGGCCCTCTGGGGAGATGGCCTGGCCTGGGCTTAGCGCGCTGGGCTGCTGTATCTCCCGCCTGCTGGCGCTGCCGGCTGCGTGAGCCGCAGATGCTGCCCGATTTCTCCTGCCTTTCACCTGCCAGCTTCCTGTGCCTTGCTCCTAGTGTTTCTTCCTGGAAAATGTTTCTTTCTCTTTTTTTTTTAACTCCAACCTCTTATTATCAGGCTCCCATCTCCTTCTGCCCCGCAAGGTGTGGGCATGTCTGTTACAATGTACATGTTGGGGGAAGGGGAGTTCTCCTTTCTCTCCTTGGCCCCACTTCCTCATTTGAGGCTACTCAGGAGAAACCCACAGGGACCCAGGTGACAGGGCCACCTCAGGAAGATGACGTTGATCAAGCGGGTGGGGTGGCCCTGCGGAGGCAGCTGCCCTTGGCAGTCTGTTCACTGAGGCCTGTGCCCGCTGGAGGACACGCTGGTTAGAATGTGCGTCTGGCTGGCGATCACAGACGGTGTGGGGCAGCCCTGGGGGACACACTTTGCAGGAGAAACGCACTTTCTCCTGCTTCCCCACCTCCGGCTGCAGCTGCTCCGAGCCCTTGCATTGGACCCGCTGAGAGCTGAGAAGAGCACCCCTCCCCTTGGCCAGGCCTCTGGCTCAGCCCTGAGGACCCCAACCCAGCCCCTGTAGCATCCCATGAGGTCACCAGCATGGAGGGCAGCCTCCCACCCAGACAGCGTCCCCGAGGGGAGCTAGCCAGGAACCAGAAGAGCTCCCGGAGGCCAGATGCAAAAAGCCACGTCCACGGCCAGGGGCCTCGCAGCAGGAGCAAGAAGGAGGGGACTGGCTGATCCATTCAGATCCTTTAGGTCCCAAAGGGCCTTTCCATTTGCTTGTCATACGTGTGTGGAGTACCACCTATGTCATCGACACTGTTCTGGGCACTTAGGATCCAGCCGGGACTAAAACACCCAAGGATTCTGCTCTCATGGGTCTTACATGATCATGTGTTAAGCAGCGGTCCCCAAACTTTTTGGCACCAGGGACAATTTTTCCATAGGGTGGGTAGGGGTGACGGAGCCTGGCTCACCCGATGCTCACCTCCTGCTGTGCACCTCCCCACCCTCCACTCCCAGTTCCATTTCTTAAGTTTCATGGAAAAAAATTTTTCCACAGATGGCGAGGCAAGGCCAGAGGAGCTCTGCAGCCCAGTCCCCAACAGGCCGGGGACTGGGGATTGGGGCCCGCAGTGTTAGAGGATATATTGGGTGGGTCTTTTGGTGACTGGATTCAGAGCTAAGGAGAATGGGGTCTTGAGTACCCCACATTCTAAAACAAAGAAGAAACAATTTGGGACTGGGCACAGTTGCCTACAAGATTTATTGAGAGATGGTTGAAATAATTCTGCTACGCCCAAACGTCACCCAGCACCCCTTCCTCATTCTCCGTAAGTAGAAGACCAGGGAGAGGGAAGGGAGAGAGAGGAAGGTGGGGTCGCTGGAGTCCTGGGGTGCTGGCCCCTTCCCCTCTTCTCCCTGTGCCACGTGCTGTCTGGATGGAGAGGTGAGGGAAGTGAGGAATTGAAGCATGACAGAGGGACAGAGAGGGGACAGTTTGGGGTATCCGCAGGCACCCCCCACGGGTCAGGTGGACATGATAGAAGGTGCATGTCCTTGAGCTGTGTCACCCATGTCCTCCCAAGAGGGAGGCCTGCAGGTGAGGAGACCCACAGGCCGTGGGCCACGGGGTGTGGATTGGGGCAGTGGCTGAGTGGAGGTGGCAGATACAGAGCTGAAAGGACCTCCCGCGTCGGGGAACGCCGATATAGGGTGGCCTGCGGTGAGCCCACAACAGAGCTGGCCTCTGGATGCGACATGACAGCATTCATAGCCAGAGAAGAGATGGCCACAGCTGGGGGGACTTTCCCCACATGTGTGAAAGAAGAGAGGGGGACTGGGAGAGGGAAGGACAAGAGGTGTGAAGGCAGACCACACTCCTCCCCACCCCCGGGTGGCCCTGCCTGGGGGAGGGAAAGTGCTAGTCTTGAACAGGATGTACCTTTAATAAATTAAAGTGACAGGAACATTAGAAGATCTACCCAAGTGCTGGTAAAGGGAAGGGAAAAGGAAAAGGAGAACCAACATAGTTCATCTAGAAGCAATGATGGAAGAAAACAAAATTAGTTTTGTATCCCACTGTGTGCTCAATAAGCAAGTTACCCATGTAAACAAATAAATAAATAAGAAAGTGTCTTGTTGCCAAAATGTGGTTCTGGCCTATTAGAGATAGTCTTGAATTCTTTAAAATTCTTCCACTTGAGGTTGGTCTGAGTGCAGTGATATTTACAACTAATTGATCACAACCAATTACAGATTCCTTTGTTCCTTCTCCACTCCCACTGCTTCACTTGACCAGCCTTAAAAAAATAAAAATAAAAAATATAAAAAATAAGAATAAAATTCCTCCACTTGAGAGGCGAGGTCTCTTTTCCCTCCCTTGGAATCTGAATTGGCCTGGGTCTACTTTGATCAATAGAATGTAGCAGAAGGGACTCTAATGGTTCCAAGCCTTGCTTTCAGGAGAACTGGCAGCTTCTGCCCTGGTCTCTTGGAACCCTGAGCTGCCATGTAAGAAATCCAACTACCCCGAGGTCACCATGTTGGAAGGAAGCTCAAGCTGGCCATGTCGAAATGTAGAAAGAGAGAGATGCTCGGCCAGCCCCAGCGGTTCCAGCTCCCAGCCACTACAGTCATCTATCTCACCAGCAAAGACAACCTATACCCACGGTGCCCTGTTTGATTTCCCGACCCATAGAATTGTGAGAGATCATAATAAAAAATCATTTCGAGGCAGTTTATTATGCAGCAGTAGGTAACCAGAACAGAAAATAAGGAAGGTGAAGAGAGAGTGTTGGGGGAAGGTGCTATAGACCAGGAGGCTGTGGAAGGCCTCTCAGTGGAGGTGACATTTATGGCAAAGCTTGTAGGACAAGAAGGAGTTGATCACATCAAGATTAAGGATAAGAGCACTCCAGAGGACACAGCTGATAGAAAGGTCTAGAAGGAACCCCAGGGTGGCTGAAGCATGACGGGCAAGGGAGGACAGGATATGGGGTGTGATGTTAGAAGCCGGCAGGGGCCAGACCACGAAGGGCTCAGCAAAGTCAGGGAAGGAGTTTGAATTTTGTTATACTGTGAGGAAGACCATTGCAGGAGTCCAAGCAGGGGAATGGAGGGATGTTCGATACCTTTTTGAACAATCACTCTGTCCGCTGTGTGGAAAATGGATTCTAAGAGCACAAGACTCCAATACCACTTTGGAGTCTGCAGCAAATCCAGGCAACCACTTATGGTGGCTTGGTCTAGGAAGAAGTTCTGGGGATAGAGAGAAGTAGATAGTTTGGTCTTCATTACGCATGTGGGCTGGTTACCCTCATTGCTTATTCATTCATGGGCATTTTTTGAGTCTATTAGTTCTAGATTTTTGCAGTAGATACATGTATGATGGGGCAAAATACATTAGCATGCAGAAGTCTCAGTTTTCCCACCTACTGAAGAAAATTCTATTCTGCAAAAAATAGGGAGAATAAGGTCAGAGGTCACAGTTGGGGGAGCTAAGTCTATCTACCTAAGAACCAGGGGAGAGAGGGCAAGCATGGAGAGAGAAATGAATAAAAGGCCTCAGGGCTGGGACTACAGAAGGAGCTTGGGGTCTTGTGGAGCCTGTGCCGGTGTGAGACCATCTGGGGAGTGAAAGAAGAGCTGGAAGCACTGCTCTGCCTCCCTCCTGTTGAAGGCCCTCGTGTTCTTGGAGAGAGGCCCGCTCAGTGAGACACCAGGCAGAGACTGAAGCCGGTGGAGCGCCTGGATTAGCTAGGGTTACAGCAGGATAAATAAGACATTGTCTCTGACCTTAAAAAGTTAGTCAGAGGAATCAGATGGACAGGTGACTGTAAAAGAAGGAAAGAAAGCCATGTAGCTTAAGCAAATGCGGATGAAATCTGAGATGACCTACACCTGGGGAATATCACGACAAGCTTTGCACAGTTTGTGGCACCTGAGTGCTGACTTGAAGACTAGGCAAGATCTGGGTGTGGGGAGACGACTGGGGAAGCCACTCTACGGGGAGGCCACCCAGGAACAAAGACCCAGAGGTGGAAAACCCAGAGCCGCTCAGGGATTTTCACATGGTTCAGTTTGGCCGGTGCTTAAGGCAGGTGAGGCAGAAGATGACGGATAAGTGGGAAGGGAGGCTGACCCTGGGTGCTGTGCCAGGGGGAAGAGGGCTGTTCCAGGTGGTGGGAGGCGCTGAATTTTTTTAAACAGGAACGTGACATAATCTTGGAATTCGGGGCTGAGAGAAAATCTACACATAATTCATTTCCACCTCCTCATTTTACAAATGAAGA